GCATGGCTGGATGGTCAGAGCCAGGTCGCCGTGACTAAGTAGGTGTGGCTGGGTGGGCGTGGCTAGATGGTCACAGCTGGGTCACCATAACTAGGTAGGTGTGGCTGGGTGAGCATGGCTGGATGGTCACAGCTGAGTAATCATGACTAAGTAGGTGTGACTGAATGGGTATGCCACAACTAGGTAGGTGTGGCTGGGTGGGCGTGGCTGGATGGTCACAGCTGGGCCACCATGACTAGATAGGCATGGCTGAGTGGGTGCGATAGGCATGGATGGGTAGGTGCTGCCAAGTCCTGCTTCCCCAAGGGGGTGCCCAGCCACGCTTACCTCCTCCTCAAGGCTGCTGATGCTGTGCTCACTCTCCTTGGCCAGGTTGGTCATGGTGGGTGTGGGAGGGCGGTGCGTGGGGGGTTTGGCTTGTGGGCGCCACTCCGAGGCAGCTGTTTTGCCTGGCAGTCTGCAACAATGGCTTCCTCTCCAGGTTCACAAGCTTATGTGAGTGTGGTGCATGGGGCGGGGGCCGAGCATGGCTTATTAGACACCCTAGGCTCATATCCAGCTGGTTGTCGATGCTGGTCAATAAGCAGCCGAAGGGCCAATGAGCTGTAACTGCTGCTGGGCACTGCCAGTCCCTGCATGCTCACCTGTTCACATGCCCAGGGGGAGCACCTGGCTGGGCTGGGGTGGGTTGGGGCTGGGGTTGAGGTGGTGGGTGCTGGTCCCTCACCATCTCCAGGGCAGCCCTGTGGGCCAGATTTAAACACATCATGGGCTGGATCTGGCCCGTGGGCCTTGAGTTTGACATGTCTGATGTAGTAGATGAGCAGGCTGAGCTGGAGGGTGAAGTTAAGTGTGTTATCAGTTTGGAGTCATTGTGCAGCCATAAGCGATCCAAGTCCTGCTCTTATGAATTCCATTAACTCTTATCTAGCACCAATCTAGCTTAGACCATTAGCTGCTCAGATTCATGTGTCTAGGTGACAAGAATAAGCTCTTGGTGCTTTGAACTCAACTTCCATTTCTGGTTATTTGCAATTTGGGAGAGGCTTGGATAAATATGATGGAGGTACCAGAAATTGCCAATAGAACATCTATAACGAACGGCAATCTCTTCTCCCACTTCAGATGAAGAACAAGAATACCCCTCTTATTGAAAGCTGACTAGACCTTTGAGTTCATCATCTGCTGTGACCAACAGGATAGCAGATTCACAGCATTTGATGGCAGAGGTACTAAAGGCATTTCAGGGTTTTTAGCTTCTAATAGTTCTTTTAAAAATTGTAACAGTTTTGGATTTCACTCATTATTCCATGCGTCCCTTGGACTGATTTAGTATGATGTGGCTAATGTTTAAGTGGACAATTACTTAAACACAAGCCAGCGGTGTGCAGCAGCAGCCAAAAAAGCCAATGTAATCCTAAGTTGTATTAACGAGAGGGATAGACTCAAGATCACATGAAGTTCTAGTACAGTTTTACAAAACCTTAGTAATACCACACTTGGAATATTGCATCCAGTTCTCGTCACCACAATATAAAAAAGATGTTGAGACTCAGGAAAGAGTGCAGAGAAGAACAACAAGCATGATAAGGGGACTGGAGGCTAAAACATATGAAGATCGGTTGCAAGAATTGGGTATGTCTAGTTTAAAGTAAAGAAGGACTAAGGGTGACATGATAGCATTTTACCAATATTAGGTGGGGTTCCTACAAAGATGAGGGGGTCAAACTATCTTCCAAAGTACCTGAAGCCAGAAGAAGAAGCAACGGATGGGAACTAATCAAGGAGAGAACCAACCTAGAAGTAAGGAGAAACTTCCTAACGGTGAGAGCAATCAACCAATGGAACAGCTTGTTTTCAGAAGTTGTGGGTGCTCCATCACTGGAGGCTTTCAAAAAGAGGCTGGACAACCACTTGTCTGAAATGATGTAGGGTCTCCAGCTCAAGCAGGACTAGAAGTCCTCCAAGGTCTATTCCAACTCTATTCTTCTATGTTTTATGACTGTTGATAGCAAGACAATCAATACACACAACAACTTGGAAAGATGATACCACAGCTAGAATCTTAGGACCCTACTAGGCATGAAGAATTGCTTCCATCATGCACACCAAATGTTTTTTTAGTTTTCTCTTCTAGTTGGTACTTTTTGTAATTCTCAAACTATACAACGCGTTGAAGAATATTGCTTTCAGTTGAGCACAAAAGTTTTGAGGCTAAGCAAGGCAGTCATTGAGTTTTTCCCCATTTTATGACCTTTTCACCACAGTTATTGAGTGAATCACTGCAGCTGTTAAGTAAACCACACCATTGTTAAGTAGTCCCACCTTCCCCCATTGACCTTGCTTGTCAGAAGCCACTGGGAAGGTGACAAATGGTGATCACATGACCCAGGGACAGTGCAATTGTCATAAATACATGTGTTGTGATTCCTCCCCAGCCAGTGGATCCAGCAGCTGAGTCTGAGGAATCAGATGAGGAGGAAGGGGCCTGGAGTGACATTAGAGTCAGAGGAAGGCTCTGAGGAGCTCCAAGACTTATGGTTGGACGAGGAGCCTGGCCCCTCTACTCACGTTCAGGCTGAGACACAGCTGTGCTGGGAGCCTGAGTTGGACAGTGATGAAGAACAGCTGGGACAAATCCAGGATGCACGAAAGTGCAGGGAGGAGAAGCGAGTAGGACAGAGGAATGTAATGGGGCAGCTCCAAAGGCAACAATTAATCAGTGGAACAA